AAATTATTCAGCAGCACTGCGTAAGAGTACAGCACACTTTATGCCACAACACTTATTTTTAACATTTTGTGGATAAAACGTAAATTTAAATAGTATCAGATTCTATACACCTGACCTTTACACAAGGCTTTAATGTGCAGTTTGTGCTGCCAAGTTTATAAAATTATATATATTTATACACACTCAAAGTGACAGCACAATCCTAAATTATGTTTTAAAAATACTGTAAGCTCTATATAGCACCTGCTACATTGTTTGATAATTAAATAAGACTAATTCAAATATTTTTTCAATCACATACAACTTGTCAGTACCAGAAGTTTGGTTTGGGAATTCTTTATTGATTTTGTAGAGTTTTTGTTCAGTTTTGACTATTTTTTTTTTTCTGGGAAGGCTTAGGGAGTTATGTTTGATTTTGTTTTAGTTTTTATTTATTGTAGAAAAAACTTAATAAAACTGAAGAGAAACACCTACCATCATTACTAAGTTCTCAACTGCCTCAAAAAAATATCAACAGAGCCTTTATTTAAGATTTTTAACCTAACTTAATACATTTACTCTTTCTGAGATTAAATTTTACAACCAAGAGAAAATACTCTTTTCTCATTCTTTGCTTAAGATGACAACTAACACTGACCTTTATCAGGTTCAGGTTCACCTGGTTAAGTGTGTCCACTGGATTCCAGATCCTACTTCCTAGAGATTACAAATGCTTATCTCCACAAAGGCAACCAATGTTGAATTAGCAATTCCTGACTGCCAAAATGAGTTGGGAGCCACCAGCTAATATTGCTACACCATGGTTCAGTACACCCCAGTGATAGTGTCAGAGGGCACACTATCTCTGTCTTGAAATCTTGAAGCACAATATATTTCAGCTTAACTGAACAAATACCTTATAAAGTTGTCTTTTATCCCCTCTGCCAGATGCTAAAAAATAAGTCTATTCCAGAGCAATCAAGTGTTCACATGGTAGAGGAAAAGAGCGGCTCTTGATGTTCTCCTTTGTTACTCTACTACACTCTCAAGCCTCACTGCACACTCATTTCAGACAACCAGCAACTATAGCAAAGTATATTCACCAAAGGAACACTGGAATACAAATTCAGAACTGCTGCTGAACATCTGTGGTTTCTGTTAAGTCTTTTGGATGCAGGAAAGCTAACAAACAGGATGTTTAAATAATCTGCCATGGACTGGTTAGAGCAGACAGGTTTGGGAAATATGCCTTAGCTACCAATAACGATGTATCTTGTATAATGTATAATGTATAATGTAGTGTGTCCTATCTGCCTGCTTCTTGAGGAATGTGGTTATTTTGCTAATCTACTCAAAGCCAGGCAAAGGCATGCAGTGGAAAGCCAGAAGAAAAGGAAGATGAGCAAAAATGGAAGCTGCAAAAGCCAAAGAGATTAGAGACTAGTAAACACTGCTCATTCACCCACTTTTCCGGGTTATAGCCTGGCACACCTACCTATTTTACTGAGCCCTTTTTTGCCTATTTGAAAGAGAAAAGAGCCAATTGAATCATTATCTTTATAGATGCTAAGCAAAGTAACTTAAAGGCAATTCTATAGCATTAAAGTATATACCAGTACACTAAAAGTGACACGCTAATTGCAAACTCCAGTGACAACAGAACACCATGACTCTGATCTCTCTTCATTGATAGACACTAAAACTTGTACTTCTATATCAAATTTACTTTTCTGTAACTAAAACAAGACATGCCAGGCACCTTTGAGTTACTACTACTCTTAATATTTATTTAGAGGGAATACTACACAGTTCTACACAAAACTAGCTGACATCAAACCTAGCAACAACTCAGTAAAAGCTTGAGATAGCACCTCTGTACAAGTCTTTTACCTCAGGAAAGTCACATTGAGTAGCTCATTGCAAGCTTCTGTGTCTAGCTTAAATGCCAAACACCACCTGAAGAAAGTGTTTTACAAAGAGGCAAAACTAGAAAAAAAATACATGTTAATGTTTAATCAGAATCTTTTTATATAACCAGTGATTTCCATGCCTTTTTAAAAGATCTTTAAGTGCTACAAATTTGGATGCATAATGTGCCAACTCTTACATGCTATCTGTCAACAAACATGAATCAGATTTACTAAGCACACCACTGTGTTTGTGATCCTCTGCTTTGCTGAGCCAGCAGCAGTAATCAAAGTGCATACATACTACAAAAGTTGTCAAGGAGAACCTAAGGTATTTAAACCTGAAAAAGACTGCTTTCAGCATGACGTATAGCAAGCAAGATGCTTCAGTCACGCTTACTAACCTCAGGTTATAAAGTGAAACGTCACTGAAACTAACTAACTTATGGGCACTTTACTCATTTAGACAATCAATCCTAAATCCACTGGTTTATACTCCTGATAAAGCGAGCATGTATTGTAATACTGTTTCCACCAAACAATAAAACCTAATTACTGTTTTTCTCTTATGCTCCCATGTTATAACATTGTAGCTATATGCAAAGTGTTAGAAACATCAGATTTACGTAAAACAGTACTGGAACATCATTTGCAATATGTTTGTCTAAAACATTCTCAGCCTCTGACCATAAAACTCATGGGCTTCCAGAAACACAGGCTGTTTTCTTGAGGTTAATCTTCTAGAAGTTCCTGCAAGTGGTGTTTTGACCCCACTTTGAACCAAACTTACACATCCCAGCACCATAAAGAACTTACACAGCATACTCCTTAATCTTCGTGTGGAAAAAATATATTACTTCAAATATTTCTCCTTCCAGTTTTACTGGTAAGGAGGAAATGGAAACACTGATTGATTACCTAAGTTCTGTACCATTTCCAAAGTATACTTTAGAACCTTCCATCTTACACCCATCTCTTCAACACACACACACACTTATTCTATTTCAGAACAAGACATGTGATCTACTCAGCAATGCTCCATACCAAAACTATTTTATACTTTTGATTAGTAAAAAATCATAAGAAGAAATGAGAAGGGAGGAGAATCAGAAAATACAGTATGAACAATGGAAGCACACAATGGATTTTTACACTGTTTTCATTGTTTTCAATGACATCATAAAATATTAGGTTTGTCTTTTTGACTGTACAATTGAGCATGAATCTTTAAAAACATTCAAATGCCACCTCAGGTTTTACTACTATAGAGGAATAATAGGTTCAATTCAGAATTTATGATTCTACATGCAACACTATGATTGTTTTCATTCTTCCTTTCGATTTCTACCTGCCTATTCAATCTATGCAAATGAAAGTGGATGGTACTAGGTGTGCCACTAATAATTTTGTCAACTGATACAGAAATTCATCTCTCAGTTATAGCTTTAGACACTACTGACCTCTTCCAGCTTCCTGTAAAAAACTCTCAGCAATCCACCTCCCCTTTCTAAGTGGGCTATTAACTGAAAGGTTAATGCCCTTCGGCACTTGGTCTCTGTGTGGGCACATGACCCAACATCACCAGAAACACTGAAAGATTTACTGGATCACCGCATCCAGGTCATACACCTCTACAGGACAACGTCCCACTTTAATCGATCCTACCCTTCTTTGACTACTTGCTAACTTTTTGTTTACTCCTTCCTGTGCATGCAAAAGCCTCACCTGATAGCAAAAGCCCCACAAGCAAGTACACACTTCAAGGCAAGCTCTGACCAACCAGGAGAGCCCTCTCACATCACTCTATAGGGGAAACAGTAGCAATAGAAAAGGGGAACATGACAGTAGCTGGAAATACAAACCTAATAGCCAATCAGTTAAGAGATGACAAAAACAATCTTGCTTCCAAATAGAAGTCTGAGATGTCAAAATACAGAGAAGAATACAAGGTAAGCGATCACTATGCCATTGTTCCCCCATTCTATTCTCATACCCCCCAAAAATATTTTTTTGTTTAAGCATAAGCTAACCCTTGTTTTCTAGCATCCCCAAAACACAAGAAGATTATTTCAGGACCATTTCAGTTGCTACAACCAATTCGAAATTTCTCCACAGCCCTCTTTACACTTAAGAAGCATTTTAGACTCATGAAGTTAAACTAGAGACTTGGAGCTGGCTGGCACTGGTTCTGTGTGACACAGCAGCTTTTCAAAGAAACCACCCCTGTATCTGCTGCCACATATACCCAGCACACTATTCTACTGCCTATCCATACACTTGCTCCTCTACCACCAACACTTATTCACATTTCATCAACATTTTTCTATGGCTACTGAAAAATACCATGCATGCTACTGGAAAATTATAAGGAACATAAACCAGAAGAGCAAAGGAGTACAAAGAACAGTGAGCAAAACTACACACATCTACTTAAAAACTACACAAAGCGAAGTTCTGACTAAGACTGTATAGAACTTCTGGAAAAAGAAGTCTGTAAAGGTAAGATCACAGAAAGCTCAAGCAATTTAAATTATTCTAACATTTCCAGTAGCACTCCAACGTAAGTTATAGTACAATGACTGAAGTTTGAAGTATCAGAGGCTTCATTCTTGTTTCCACAGTACTTTGTTGCAACTGAACTGGCAGACAAGTATTCAAGATTTAAAAATTCTCACTAATGAGAACGATTAATAGAGTGATTTTAATAGTCCTGTGTATATTTATGGATGTGCAGCTTTCATATGTTTTCATTCCAAAACTAAAACATTTCCTTTGCTACTCTACATCCAATTTCTAAGGCAGATTTCAAATTCTTCTCTTTATTGGGATGCAAACATTTTAGAAACACAAATAAAAGCCAACTGAAATGGAAAAAAAAAGAAAATCACCCATAAGCGGAAACAAACACAATCAAACATTTATCTATACATTAAAAAAAAACAGCTTTCACAAATTGGAAAAAAACCCTGTGGTCTAGACAGGGTTTAATGTTTAAAATTCCTTGCAATAAATTTATTCTAGGAGAAGCACAAAAACTGCAGCAGCATTACCGAACTCATTGCCCCAGGTTAACAAATGTTATATAACCAAGTATACAAGGTTAGTCAGACTCACCTTCCCTCATTGATTTTTGCTTTGTCCCCATGGCAAGTGAAGTTCTCAATGTAGCCCAGGCTGCAGTTTATCCGTGTCCAGTCGGGCTGGCACACAGCAATGAAGTGAGGACGCAGTCTACCTATGGAGTACTTGGCAATGTCTGTCAACGACTGGCTAGCAGCTGCCCCAAAAATGAAGGTCCCAATGGCTTTGTAAATAGTGGCTATGTAATTATTTCTGACAAATGAATTTGAGTGTAAATTATTATAAAAGACCGAGAGAGTCTCTCCTAGGATTATCTGAAAGAGAAATAAGAACAACAAGTTAATAACTTTAAAAGAAAAGTATTACACTCTTCTTGTTAATACTCACACATACAGTTTCAGAAATTATTTTCTTATAAACATTAATCTGAAAATTTAACTTTTCCAAGAATCAGCAGTAACCATGTCCAAACATTATAAACACTTTCACACAGAAGAGAAACACCCTTTTATTTTACCCTACCTCATGTTGAACTTAATCATATCATTTAATACCCATTAAAACAAAGCCTTCTGATATTACTTGGCATGGCCCTAATTAGAAACATTTTCTCCCATAGAACTTCATTTTACATTGCATCTTCTTCAACTAACTTCTACTGAGTAAAATTTTTTAAAGCTTGTTAGGTTTCTCATTAAGCCAGAAGCTGTTCTGAAGGGTTCAGATTTTATATCCAGATCTGAAAGGCAAGATGTTTCAACAAAAATTTCCTATTCCTCATGGAAATTAAATCCTTTGGGGAGAAGACTAATGAGAGTAGGGAAAGACAGGTCTTACTAAGGTCTTTCCAAGGATTTTTCACCATACATTACCAAGGAACATATACCGAGTGTTGACAAGAAAGCAGATCTAATTTTGTTTTCTTGCAACTCAATCTTTTGCAGAAAGTAAGTTTTTGCTTATGCCAAATACAGAACTTCACTCCAGATAATTTGGATATTGACCCAGATGGTCCCGTTCTGTAGAGAAAGGATCAATTCATACAGATGATCAGATGTGTGGGAAACTGGATGTACATATATAAAGTTACCTTGAAAAATCATGTAAAAATGAAAATCATGGCTCTGTCTGTCACTTGAGAGTGCCAGGTCCTGGATCCCAGCGAAGCAGCGCTTTGGTGAATGAAGCCATTACTTAGACACTGCCACCCAGGCACAAAGAGTGACAGCTTGTCAGAGGCTTTGCACATGAAGGCAAACAGACAATACCGTCAGATGTGTGACACTGAAGCTTTACACCTCCACCATACCCAAACACTGACTGAAGCAGAGAAATACCAGAACATGGACTAAAGCTGAGGAAGTTTTCAGTAAAGTACATAGACACCTAATGCAGAAAGTAATCTCTTAAGGAAGATGGCTGAGCACAAATAAATAAATAACAGTACATAATGAATCCCTTTCAAAAAACATTCTGTAAAACCTGCAAGAAGATCACTTATCTCACGTTACAAAAAATTAGTTGATGTCAGTGCAATTACTACATTGGACAGACATCAAAGAATATTCATCTTCAATAATCTGACTAAGCACTGAGTTAAGGACACCAATATTTGCTTTTACCATCTGACTATGAAGCAATCTTAACAGAAAAGCCTGGTTTCACTAAACTATATAATCAACTGAACTATAGTCCCTGATGTTGCAAAAGAAATTTTGTTAGCTAAATATTCATATGGGCTCAAATGGAGACTGGACTAATTCAAAGGGAATATATCCGTTAAGAAACTATATTCAGTGGAGACTTTTCTCACCCAGGAAATCCCTAAACTGCAAATGGCTGGTAGCCAAGTACTGAGGGCAATACATCAATCTTTCCATGCTCTATTCTGTTCTTCCTCACTCAGCTGTTTTAACTGCTCTAGAAATGAGATAAGCTATATGGGCCGCAGTTGTTACCAAGCACTGATGCTCTCAGGTAATATTGACTACCCAAAGGTAGTAACAGGGTAAAAAAAATAAATAGCCTTATCTTAAAGGCAGGATCATTAGCATAAACCACTTGCTAGTTAACAGAATGCACAAACCCTCCCCCTCCCCCCCCCAAATTTCATCTGTTTGAGAAGCATTTCTATTTCTGATGCAGCTTTTCCAAGAAGAGGGAAACCAGGCAAGTCATAGTTTCAATTCTCAGAACGTATTTCTACACTTGTAAAAAAATTACACCCAAAAGCAAATATGAGCTGCAAGGTGACCTTTATGCTGGAACCTTGCTAAAAATCCATGTAGTCCCTATGCAAGGCAGAGTTAGATTATCATAATATCCCTCCTGACTTAAACCTATTAGCCCAGAGAAACAGCTGGTCAATACTGAGGATTACATTTAGCTGTGTCTTTTCATTTTTGGATCCTAAACATACTTGGATAAATATTTATATGCCTAAAAATCTTATTTGGCATAAGAAAGCTTTAACTCTGCTCAAAGTGTGGCTCTGATGAGTTTGGATGCCACCCAACAGAACCATCAGTAGAGACTGAAGACTTTTACCACATCTGGACAGGGATCTTGAGCCCCTGATGAAGGGCCATTGTAGGAACTGGAGCGCTGTCCCCGTCAGACTTAGGACATGAAATGGTTAACTGAAGAGGTCCAGCTGTCCCCTCTGCTCATGAGAACATGTCCCAGCCACTTTCTGCCCCAGCACTGGTATTCTTCCAAGAGCCATTTGCACTCCACATAGTCAAGGAAAGCTGCTGTCTTCTGCCAGGCTAAGGAGCCTCACCAGCTGATCCTGGCTCAGACAAGCCACAAGAAGTGGCAACAAGCAGGGTAATAGTAGGACCTCAACTTTTGTCCATAGATAGTAAGCTATTAGGTTATCTCAGCTGACAGCATATAATTAAATATTAGGGATAGAGAGTCACTATATGCTTGAGACAGGTCAGCTGAGCTAGGAGCTGTGGTCAGAACAAGAGCCCAAATTGGCAGTCACAGAAACAATCTGCTCAGCTCACTGACCTGGTGTGAAGAGGAGGAAAGAAGAAAAATACCCCGTTTTCAGCCAGGTGCAGTATGAAGTGAGCCCCTGTGGTAATTTAAATACAAATGAGCCCAGGGTTTTATCCTGACCTTCAGGGAAATATCCAGGGAAGAACTTCACACCTGCTTATTCCTTTTATTCTATTTATGCTTTTGATAACATCTGATGGAAGGCATAATCTTTCTCTTAAATAGTCTAGTACCTGTTGTTACACTTCCACTTACAAAAGTATTCCCAAAGATTTTGTGGCAGATAAAAAATGCTGACTTAATAGGTCATGCACACTGATATTCTGAATGTAGCAGGTCCTGAAATAAAAAGACTTGTGACATATTTTCAACAAATACGGTAAGAAGTTTTTATCTCTCAGATGACAGAATTAAGCCATCATGGTTCTAAGGTTCTAAAGTTCTAATGTGTTATTTTTCTGTTCTATAATTCTAGCTGTTTGGCTTCAGTTAAAGAAAATCTTTTAGTTATTCTTGCCAGACCACCATTTCTACTGCTTTAGCACCTGGCATAAGGACATTATTTTAAGGTTGAGAAATCTTACAGAATAGTTTTGTAAATCTGTACAAACAGATTACCCCTCCTCCCTCTTTCCCACCCCCACTGAAATCAAAAGCAATGAAGAAAAGTTTAACTTACAACAATTACACTGAAAGGAATAATTATTCCTGCTAATAATTTATAAGAAATGGTGTCCTCTTTGTATGGATACCGGATGGATTCATCACTACAGAAAACGCCTCTCTGGAAGGGGGTACGTCGTGAACTGAGAATTGCAAAAGGCAAGCCAGCTGGCAAAAAGGAATACAAAATACATTACAAAACCAAAACAAACTGGCGATGATCATACCCCCGTATTTCCAAAGAGAAGTGCATAAAGAGGAATGGGCATGCAGGAAGTTAGAAGGTTATGCACTTCCCTTGGCCAATGACTACTGCATTGACTTTGTAGCTTCCAGGAAGGATTACTGAATGAAGAAGAGCAGGGCAGGATTCCTCTCATCTTCATGTTTGTGGCACTTCAAGTGTGGAAGCATGCCATGACTGAATAAATAGTTCAGTGACAACCACTGAGGTGCTTAATCTGCTGCTACTGGCACAGTTATCAAATATTTCTTTATATTCCAGTGAGCAACAGTTGCCGCTTTACACCTTCTCTGGACAGCTTTACAAGTCAGAATAGCATAAATTGCATTTCATGAAAGCAGAAAAGGAGGTGCTTTTCAGGGAGTGCAAGTACAGAGAGAGTTTTTGGGAATATGGAGAAAAGGAAATTACACATGCATGTGATCCCCTCACTTCCTCACACACCGAATATCTTCCTAGAACAACAGGGTCACTGCACAAGCCCTACAGCCTCAAGGAATTGAGATTTTATTCCCATCTCTTCCACCAAAGATGATGCCTTTGGCTCAATCTAATATCTACAGGACACAATACTAAGGTGCACAATGCTGCATGTCAAGGTACCCACAACACAAACCAAAACTAGTCACAACACCAAAGGATTTTTAAAAAACCCAAAATAGGATGCAAATTACCACAAACTGATAGAATCCCATTTCTAAGTCCTGTTCCTCCATCCTTAACACACATACAACAACTGCACAATTGGTGTATGGGATGATACTCTTGGAAAGAAATGGTTGTATGGAAAACAAGCAGTAGAGGACAAAACTACTATTTATTGTTTAACAAAACAATAAATAATCTTCTTTAGCTTAGGCATGTAGAGCCCTGTAGCACAAAATCCCTTGCTTTATACCTAAAAATACAGCTGTGTTGCACATAAAATGCATACTACTTTAGAGTAACACAACAAAAATTATCTGGAGGAGACACTCCCATCTGACAGTAAGGGATCAGAAAGATAAAAAATAGTCTCCTCATTTCTTCCTTCCCAGCAGAAATAAATGTTGTAGTCTCAGTTCTTTCCTCAAGACCTCTGTGCAAAGGCATAGCCTACCTCTTCCTTTCCAGATATACAGCTAGCCCCAAATAAGCATGTGCAAATAAAAGTAAAGATGTAAAGAGCAGGAGAAAAAGTGAATAAAAAAAGATACCAACAAAGCATCAAGAGAACTGTTAGGGAAGAGACCTAGGATCCTTTCCAATCCTCTTCCCTCTTTCCCTTCACCCATGAAGTCCTCCAAACTAAGCCTGACTCCTGGGACCATCACAAGTGAAACAACTGGGATTTTAACAACAATTTGCTATCAGTTTTGTTTTGTACACCATAAAGTGCTTAAAGAATACTTCCATTTG